CGGGTGCACACAAAGGTTTCAACAGTGATAAATTGTTATGATTTAACATGGTACTTCACCTCCGTGCTGAATATACTACAGGTGAGCAAGAAGGGGGGGCAACACCTAAAATATTCCAATTCATAGTTCCATTATAAGCTCAAACCCACAATAGGGATTAAGTTGAGTGATCGTGCACTGAAAATATTACGAGCCCTGTCCACATCCTCTCCTGCTGCACCAGGAAATGGGCAAGGAGATAACAGAGAGCAGAAACGTCTTAAACCACTGCAACATAATTTACTAGAGGACATTTGTTGATGCCTCATGAGACAAGTGCGACTTGCCATAACAAAAATCTATGGATTTACACTGCTTTAACACGCCTCCTGTTTGGGATTCCCGCTATCAGCACTTGCCTGTAGCTACACAAAGCACAGTTTCTCTTTCTGCTTGATCCAGAGTTGCGTTTGGTATACGAATACCCAAACCCAACACCAGCGACTAGTAGAAGTGCTCCCACCCCTGCTAGAAAATGAGGCTGTCTCTTGTGGCACAAAACTTCTGAGCACAGAAAACACTGGAACAGGTAAGTGTGACAGGACAGCAGGTCCCTTGCATCTCAAGCACACAAAAGCAGACAAATTTTGAAGCATCAGCTCTTCTGAGCCAGTGGCTATTAGGACAGCATGGAAGGGTCACTTTTACCGTCTTCTTCCCAGTGGCTGATTTCCCCCATTATTTCTTCTTGGATTGATACAGAAGTCTGATTCTTGGGGAGTCCTAAGCACTCATGGTGCTACTAACACACCACTGGCCTTGCCTGCAAAAAAATACTCAAGCAGCTCCACAGTCTTAACTACCACCTTTTATTTTGGTACTCTTAAATATTTAAATTACACAGCAGCAAATACAAAGTGTTAGTTGTGAGGATCTCAATTCTCTCCCCATGTTGTGCCTTCCAAAAAAGTAAATCCAGGACACGGTCATTACATGTGTCTGTTAAGATCAGTTGTCTGTTGATCGCTACAGGCCATGGAACAAGGCCATCCTATGAGCAAATTTGGTATTTAGCACTTGGAATGAATGGTTCCTCCACAAAACGCTTTTTCTCTGACCTCACAGTTGTGATTTCCTGAGATGAGGGCATGATAAAAGGGTAAATAAACACTGAAGAGGCTCTGAAAGTAGCAAAGGACCGAAATGGAACCATCTAGACCCGAGAAGACATCGAGGAAGCAAAGATCACAAAGATATGCATGGGGATGTGTTTTTTTCCTAGATGTTACAGAATTAACTTCTTTAATACTATCTCTGTCTTCACAGCACATGCCATCTGCAGACAGTAAACATCAGGGCAACAGTTCTCTGGCAGGAATGGTTTCGGAAATTAGAAAGCACTGTTTTGGCAAAATAAACTCAAATTTAGTGAATTTCCCCCCCTCGACCACAGCCCTTAAGCTAATATTATCCTACCCACTCCCACACCCGGTGCCATTATGTCAGCCAAATTTAGCGTAATATGCTCCTACCCCCGCCCACACCCGGTGCCATTATGTCAGCCACAGCGAGGCGGTAGGCAGAGGCTCAGCCAGAGACCACAGGAACTTCGTAGGCTTCTTTCTCCATCTCTAAAGCACAGCTACGGAACACAGCTCACACCGCCACAATCTCTGTGTTTTTAACACAAAATTCTTTTCATGAAGTCCTGGTGAGGTCCTTTACCCAATCACAACTGCAGACCGCTCAGGGCTTCCAGCTCTAATGGAAGGAATTTAGTATCATCCAACAATTCCTGTTGCAAAATATCTACTGTTACTACTGCTAGTACTTTGAGGAGAGAGGAAGAGAGACAACTGCTTGTCTGTTCATCACAAATTCCTCTTACTTCTCCAACTTCAAAAGTTCTGCTGGACTTGCCCCTATCACAAGTAATGAGGGGAAGTGAGCAGAGCTCTTCTGGCCTTTGTGATTTTGTTTTGTTTTGTTTTAAATGGAAGTGCTTGCATTACAGATAATCAAAGAATGAAAGATCATAATCCTCAAGAGACCAAAGTGCTCAAAAAGCGCTGTAGTTATCAACATAAGGACCTCACACACCTTTAATTCATCCATGGAAGTGTAATGCCACAAGTATCATTGTGTTCAATGCACGTCAATGCTTTGCACTTCTACTGTTTTCCCCCTTTACTCTCTGCGTGCTTTGCAAATGTGATTAACCACCATCCAGCTCACTCCCAAAGTGGGAGCTGAACTGAAGCAGTGCAGAGGAGCTCTCTGGGAGCAACTGCATCCAGGAAAGACAAGTCCTTGCTCCAGGCTAAACTGGCTACGCTATTGCTCATTGGAGAAAAAATAAAAAGGACCAAGCAACCAAGTAGCAGGCTACACCTCAGCAAGGAGCACCCTACAACCTAGCTCACCTCTGACTGCTTAAAGCCACACAGCTTGAAATGAGACAAAGCTCCTGGTTCCCTGCCCTGCTTTCTATTTATGGACTTCACCCTCTTCCCATCTATAAAATGATTGAATATGGCAAATATAACCTTAGATAAACTCCTGACGTACCTTAGATAAGCATTAAATGCCTTGCTCTGATGCAGTTTCAAGATCTGCACCTCAATGCTTTCAGGGGTTCAACACCCAAAAGGCTTTGTGTGGTGTTTACCATAATGCTGCCCTTGAACCCCACTAGACTATATCCCCAACATCCACACCATTCAAATCCACTTTTACTGGTAGGAACCCCCCGCTTCAATCATACTTTCCTTCACTTCCACATCTTTACACTTCCCCTCTAAATCTCAACACATTTTCTCCTATCAGAACCAAAAGATCCTGAGCTGTTTCACTCTGCTTTGTGCTTTAGAATAACGAGAAAAAGCAGCGCTTGGACAACTCCTGAGAGCAGCTGGAGAGACACCAGTCCATACAAGATGAGAGGCTTCACTCACAAGGCTTGATGGAAGATGCTGAACTCCCCATCCCATGTCTCTTCTGCTTGTCTAATCACAGCCAACTGCTTTGATAATATCAAGCACCAGTAAAGACTGGTGTTCAACTGTCAAGAACTGGCCTTGGGGAAGCAATTCCTAGACAGACTTTTGTACAGGGCGTAGCAAAATGTGTCTTCAATAGTAGTCCATCACCAACAACCTTTCGTAGCATATTTAGTTTTTTTAGGTCTGGCTACAGATCAGAATTATAGTGCTGAAAAGCTGACATTTAAGGGAGGAACAACTAGCCCTTCTGAATACATAACAGCTGTACAAAGTGTATGCATGCATGAATAACAGATTGCTGCTATTTGTACAACTACGATTGAGAAATACTCTCCCTTAAAATCTTTCAAAAGGTCATGGCTGCTTTAGAAAATGCTTATTTTTTGACAAAATGACAGAACATGGAGATAAGACCTTTAAAAGATGAGAAGGGAGAATGATTAAATGGCAAATAGTCTATTTCGCTTTTGAAAAAGCCCATATAAGATACTTCAGTCAAAAGATCTTCATTATATTCTGGTTACAGAAGCAAGTTTTGGTCTAAAGCTGTGTATTTATGCAGTGATTCAGAGTAAGGAGAAGGAACAGGAGTTTTATAGGAATTACAGCATGTACCTGATACTTATTAATGACTGGAATGATGACTAAAGAGGCCTGACTCTCAGGGTACAGGTGCTCAGCAGTTATTGGGAAAAAACTCAGGCCACACCATGACCTGTCAGTTTTGCATTTAGATCCTCTCCCTGTCCACCCCACCCCACGAGCTCAGCCCAAATAACTAATTGGCTTAAAAATTCTTGGCTTGGTGTGATAAAAATAAAAACCAGAATTCTCTTTTGAGCTCTTGTTATTCTTGAAAGTGTTTTGTTTTAAATAACACTGGCCATTTAGTACTGTTTCTAGTTCACCATCCAGAATAGAGAATTTCAGAAATTTCTCAAATTAACCTTCTGCAAAGGTTGAACTCTCACTGACCCAACTGTCCTTTGGCTAATTTTAATAAATAGATTTTCTCCTGCAAGAAGTTTTCATTTTTAGCCACTCAAGTCACTACTAAGTGCTTGTGACTCTCAAAGCTAACAGAAGTTGCCGCATTCTAATTCTCAACTATAAAATAAAAGGGGGCTAGAAAACTGAAGGCTTGGCTAAGAGGCAACAGAATTAGCAAAGACCTCGCATGACACTATCATCAAGGTACAGATGGAATATAAAAAAGAATAAGATGCTAGAGGGGAAAAAAAAAAAAAAGGAAAAGAATGAAGTTTAATCTTCGATCATGTCTCCTAATGGGGCTGTGATCATCACCAGTAAACCTATTTTAATGGAAAAAAACCCACTAAAACCTTACTTCTTTGCTTTTCCAGTTTGTTCACTGTATCAGATCAGTCACACACTACAAAGAGGGATTCTTCACTAAAAGTTCTGAGCATCAGCTATGAGAGAAATTCCTTAAAAAGCCATTTAGAGGAACAATATCAGACTGGATTTTTTTAAATAATT